CCTCAGCCCAACCAAAGCCCCCCCCCCCCCTTCATTTATACAGTGGACAGGCTGTGGGGGCATTATGCCAGTGCGGAGTCGGTACAATCTGGTGGATGATGGATGTGATTCTCGAATCCCCCTCCATAATGAGGAAGCCTTCCAGCATGGCATCCACTTCCAAGCCAAGGTAACTTCTGTGCCCACTTACTATCCACTCAGCCCATGTGCCTTCATCAACTTTGCCCACCTATCTATGTGCCATCTACGATTCCCTCCTATCATCCCCATCTATCATCACCTACCACCATCTGTGCCCACTTGCCATTAACTGCCTTCACAATCTACCACCATTTACTGTGCCCTCCTTCTAGCACCACCTATACCTTCCAGCAATCACCTGCCCTGACTACCAACCCACCATCTACTATACACCGCTGCCCTAGACTTTTCCCTTGCTATACTGTGCTTACCTGCCATTACCTACTGCTATCTACTGTGCCAACATCTATTCTTTCCATCTGCCACTGACCAAAGACCACCGAACATCATATACTTAACCCAACTGCCACTGTTTTCCCCATGACCACCAATTACTAACTAGTGTACCCTTCATCACCATCGCCTCCCCCTAACTACCTACTGTTAACTAGTTTGTTCACCTGTTACCATCTGCCATGACCACCTGCCACCATCCACTGTACCCTCCTACCATCATGTGGTGTGACCTGCTACCCTCTAGTATCACCTGCCCTGGCCACCTTCCATGATCTACTCTGTCCTACAATCACCTGCCCTGACTACCTAATGCCACCTGCAGTGACCACCTACCACCATTTACTGTCCCCACCTGCCTGTTACTGTCAGTATTGCCTCACAGCAGCCAATCAAATCCTTGTCTGGTAAAATGACATTGAAAAGTGGGTCAGCTGGCGGTGGTGTAATACGTACAGTTTTCATTTCAAATGTAAGATCCAGAGTGTTGTCCTCTCTTACCATATCAGCATGGTTGAGGGTCCGTGACGTTCTCTAGATGCCACCGTATCCACCTGAGTGGTAACTGTGTATTAGATGCTGTGAATATGGAGCTGGATAATGCTTGCCAATGGAGGGGGCTGAAAATGTACACATCAGACCCTGGTTGTCTCATTGTCCACCATTCAAACATCAGAAATCACTAAATTTGTAGCAATGTCATCCAGCAATCACAGCCTGGACTCTTCTAATTTCAGCTCCAGCGGGTGCCTCTCAGTGCATAGCTGAGGCCCCACAGTGCATTGTGGCACTGAACACCTGTTGACTCTGACTTGGAGCAAAGTTGGTATTTTTATACAAACTGCAGCTTAGTTACTAAAAAAAATCATTCCCAACAGTCTCTGAGCCATTCACATCAGTTTCTGCACCAAAGGTGCTTCTACTCATACCACAGTCACAGTACAATTATTATTAAACCACATATATATCTCTGACACATGCTGCAATGCTGTTCAGAGAATGGCTGTCACATTAGTTTGCACCAGATGAGCTTACAATCTATTCTCCCCTCTACATTCTGTGATTTTTCTTTTTATCTGTAATGTCTTATTGTATCATTGTTTTTTGCTTCTGTAAATAATTACAATGTTCCATATTTTTATAAAAGCCACAATTCTTCCTAATACAATAAATAGTACAGAACATGTCTTCTATATTGGGGGGAAATTGTCCACTTGATGGGCGTGGAGGTAGGTTGGGATTGCATGAGAGGAAATGCTGAAACTTGCCCGTGACAAGTCACCAGGTCTGTGTGCTCTGACGGGGGACATGTTCTAATGCTGCCAAGTCTCCTCTCTATTTGTTGTGGGGGTCTCTGGTGTTTTTATAGTCATAAACAGATCATAGCAATTCAATGTTTGTATAAAAATGTTTGTTCCTCATAACAGCAAATCGGATTCCAGCAGCTGTTTTCAAGGGCTGGTTAGAAGATGAACGGAAGCTGCTGATTGGTTAATAGGGGTCCCCGTGTCTTTGCTGAATTAATTCTCTGCTTGTGTTCATTGAGGACTTGGGTACAATATTTTAGCGCTCCTGACATTCTCATTAATATTCTGAAGAGGACAAAAGAATGTTGTTAGAAATAATCTGCCATGTCCAATTTAACACAGTCCACTGCGGGTAATTAATAATGTTATTACATCGCCAGCAGGATTGTGTACGCAGACATTTATGGCTTCTTCACTGTGGAGTTCTGCTTTTGGAAGATCAGATTCGGGTTTGTTGTGATAGAGAGAGGGCCCAGTAATCTGTGTGATACCTGAGGCCTGCAGTACTGCAGTGTATTCAGATGGATCATTGCCGTCTCTCAGACATGTCAGCTGTATGGGCATCTGAGGACCTATCCCTTTTATGAATACTCTTCTCTGGGTGGAGATTTTCCAGTCCACTAAGGCAATATTCCATGCCCCACTCCGCATGGTATCCGTTGGCGGTCAGATAGGCTACAGATGCCTGTGTGCCATTAGCCAAAACGCCAGTGTACCAGGCATGTACATTCCTCTGGAGACTGCACGATTGAAGGCTTTGCAATGCATTATATTCCAGAACAAGGAGAAGAAATGGCTCTGCTTGAGATAAATACATGGCTGAAAAGCTGTGATGTAAAGACTGTATGCCCTGCTTGTAATCTGAGTGTAGTTGTTACTGTAAGCCAGGAACCCACAGGTTAGCACTAACCATATTCTGCTAGTATCACCTTGCTGGGAGTACCGATCAGTGTGCACATATCTGTGTTGGTAATTTCAGGTAATGTGCACAGCGTCTGGACCTGTCTATCCATATCTCGGGCTGCTTCATGTTTAGACTCTGCATGGGCTGTATGTACCTGCAAGGAAATCCACAAGATATGAAGCACAGCATTGCCCTTAAAGCAATAGTAAACTCAGGAGTTGAATCTTAAAAATGCATTCAGGTACCCTAAAGGAGAACTATGAGGTGAGTGATTTCCACTCATCCTCATAGTTAGAGCCAACCTGTGACAAAGAAGCTGTCGCAGGTCGGCTCTATCAGGAAGTGAGAAGAAACATGCCACCGATCTTCTCACTTCTCGATCATCTCCTTACAGTGAGCAGTGACTGTCAGTCACCGCTCCCCGCAGGGATTCCCCCCTCCCCTCTCCGATCCTCTAGTGCTGAGTGGAGGAATAAACAGGGGAGGGGCGGGCACAGCCGGCCCTGCCTCTAGATAGGCAGAGCCAGCTGTCACTCGTGCAGCTGGGTGGATCTCGACAGTCGGGATCCGTCCCATCTGCGGCACTCACAGTATATCGTGGGCGATAGCTCACTATATACTGAGTTTTGGGTCACAGGAGGAGGTTAGCATATGTCCTCTCATGACCCTAAAGAGAACCCCCTCCAGAACGAAGGACAGTGCCCGCACCAATTCAGAGATAATTTGAGCAGGGGTGTGGAAATGTAAAAAAAAACTACTTGTCCAAGGACTAAAGCGGGGGCCAAATCTACTTGTCCTTCATGACAATCTACTTGTCCTGATACAAAAAAATAGGGATGCACCAATACCGTTTTTTCAGTATAGAGTACCAATATTTTGCTTTCGGATCTCGCCGACACTGAATACTAATACCGGTGCTTCCGCTGACATAGAGCAGGCTTCCCTGGTAATCAGGAAGCCGGGCAGCGGATAATTACATCCTGCCCGGTATCCTGATTGCCACGGAAGCCTGCTCCATGTTGTTTGGCCTGCTTGATTGTGATTGGCCAGGAAGCAGATTTCCTGGCCAATCAGGAAGCCGGGCGGCGAGTAATGACCTGATTGACCGGGGAGCTGGTTCGATGCTGATTGGCCAAGAAGCCGGCTTTCCAGCCAATCAGCAAAGAGGCAGCTTCCCGGCCAATCAGAAAACCAGGAGGCAATTCATTACTTACCGCACGGTTTCCTGATTGCACGGGAAGCTGGCTCCATGTTCCCCCTACGACACTGCCAGTCAGAGTATATCGGCCAAATACTCGGTATCGCAATGATACTATTATCGGTGCACCCCTAATCAAAACATATTTGACTGCTAAATAGCGCTTCTCACCGGTCAGCGCAGTCATCTGACCACGTTGACCAATGAGTGCTTGCAATTTGCGAGCGAAATTAAAAATGCATAGGGGAGGACTGCGCTGGACAGCAGTACGGGGTACAGATAGTACACCCATACTGCTCTATGGCTGAGCTGTTGTGCCGTAGTTTTCGGTGGGGTCCCCCAGGAGAGCGGGTGCGGGCAGACACAATATGGGTGCGGGCAGACACAATCGCCGCAGCTCAATTTGATACAAGTGATCTAATTAGATCACTTGTACTAAATGAGCGGCAGCTCCACAATGTACATTCAGCTCTTAACCCTCTCCTGCTGCACTAGTGGTCAGTGGCACTGCTGTTAACTCCCCTCTTTGTTTGCCTACCAGATCACGCGCCTCAGCTCTGCTCTCTCCCTAATTAAGTCGAGCTGGGACTATACTACTCTCGGGGACATCCTAAAACATTTAATGTGAATTATTCTGCCTGACAGCACTGGGTTCGGTTGAGTGTGGGAATGCAGAGTGCATCTTGCTGCCAAAGTGCCCAATATGCAGTGGGCCACAGAGAGAGAGCCAGCGGGCACTAGGGTTCTGTATAGATCGTGTGATAAATGGTTCTCTGCTTAGGCTAGATCTGTGCTGTAAATCACTAGCTCTGGATGGATAGTTGAATAAGCGGCTACATATTTAGTCTGTGGCCATGCTATAATCTAGAGCAGGCATGTCAAACTCAAGTTCATGTATGGCCTGTAAAGCTGGGTGCACATTCATACATGGGCCACACTTTGATATCTGTGTGAAGGCCACTAACATAAGTGCCAGGATTCTCAAAATTCTCTGCATATAAATATAGCAGAATAAAAGCATTATTACTTATTCTTTTATAGGCTAAGTAATACAACAGTAATGTGCATTATGCTTGGTGTAGGGAACTACGTCTCTGTGTCACACATGGCCAAGTGACGAGAGGAGATGGTTCATAGCCTATCTCCAGGAACAGGTCCCGATAAGTTCAACATGAATTTGAAACCTGCAGCTCATGTGGCTTAATTTTGGAAGGACATACCCATGTCCACCTTGACAGTGGATAACTGCATTAATGGCTGTTGACATAGATTTATGAAAGGCCATT